AGAACTACTGCTACTACTACTACTACTACTACTACTACTACGACTACTACTACTCCTACTCCTACTCCTACTCCTACTACTACTGCTACTACTACTGCTACTACTACTACTACTACTACCACCACCATACTACTACTGGTACTGGTGCAGTTGCTAGTGCTAGTACCCGTACTAGTACCAGCACAAGCGCTGGCACTAGCACCAGGACTAGCACATGCACTCGTACTAGTACTAGTACTAATGCAGTGCCAGTGCTAGTGCCAGTGCCAGTGCTGGTGCTACTGCTAGTGCGAGTACTTGTAGCTGCTACTGCTAGTACTACTCGCGCTGCTGCCGCTCCTTGTGCAACTGCTGCTGCAACTGCTGCTGCAACTGCTGCTGCAACTGCTACTGCTACTGCTACTGCTGCTGGAGTGCTACTGCCACTGCTACCGCTGCCACTGCTACTTCTACTGCCTGCGACTGCGATGCTACTACTCGTTCTCCTGGAATGGCAAACAGCGTTGTCCTTGTAAGTGTGTTATGACGAGTGCTTTCGGATGTTGGCGCTCTATGGTCATGCGTGGTTCGCGGGGAGTCAGTGTAGGTAGACTGTTGTGTGGTCTGTGGGGAGTATAGGCAGACCCAGAGGACCGAGAAGCCTTGAACAAGCTGGTGCAGGTCCTCCCCGAGATTAGACTGTTCAGGTTTTCTGTGCAGGGCTTGCAAGTTCACACTATGTGCAGCAGTTTCTGTATGTAGCAGCTAATCGGCTACAGCTATGCACGAGTCGGACATGCCCTCCATTGCATGTCTGATAAGGATCTTTGCACCTCCACGAAGTGCAGACTGCATCGCTGCATGGGTGTTGTTAACGACCTTTTGGTAGTCCGAAGCCAAATACATGCGCAGCTGAAATGACAGGCCCTGTTAACCCGGAGTGTCAACAGAGTCGTCCGCGGTGACCACGAGCTCAATGCAGCACATCATCATTATTGTCATCATCATCCTCATAGTTGCAATTACAGTCGTCATGTTTCAACTGCTACGAATACGAACAGCATGAAGAAATATGCTGTCAAGATTTAGGCATGAGAGAACAGGAATGACGGAGATGTCTGACAAAGGGGAGGAGAGTAGACGATACACACTAGACAGGAGAGGCGCCGGAGGGGCCATTCAACCCTAAATGTTGAAACCTTCGCGGACAGCGGTAGCTCATTCACAAAAGGCCGGAATAAGGAAGCGAAGCCTTCGCACAGGCCAAAGCCAAACGGCCTGCTGCACCCCTGACCGAGCAAATTCGGGGAGCTGGAACGTAGAAGCTGCTGGCTGGACATGGAGGTGGGCGGTTTTTCAATGCGAAGGTTTCGGGCGGATTGGAGTGTACAGAATGGCCACTTTGGGATTGTGTGAAATCGGGCTAATTGAGGATTGTAGCGCGGAATGAGGCGCTGCTGCCACGGAGCGAATCTGCCATATGTGTTTGCAGCACAGCAGAGCAGAGTATCGGCTCAATTTTACTTTTCACTTGGACCTCGACTCTCGACCATATGTCAAGTTTATCAAAGCCTGTTGAATCTTATTAAAGCTAATCAAAACATATTAAGTCTTTTTCAGGCCTTTTAAATCTTATTAGATCTTCTTGGTTTATATAAACCCTCAAGGGAACTCAACCCCAGGGAAGTCTTACCCGGATTTAAGCCATGAATATGGGGCTGCTTCGACATCTGTTGAATTAGTTGAGTTGAAGCTTTTGCATTGTCCCTGAAATCCTGTCATGCCGACGACGACAGGTGCTGAGAAATGTTCGGCGCCGTCCACGCCACAGACGCAGAGATTGCCGAAAAAAAGGCCGTCCGAGCCAATCCTGTGGATCAGCTGCGGTCCATTGGGAAAGTCTTGGGACAAGGGCTCCAGGAGAAGACCCAGGCAGTACAGGGTCATGTAGCGATAAGCGACCTTGGGTATTGTGGTGCTACGATTCGGACGTGGCTTGCCATCTGTGCTGCACGTCGACTAAGGCCGGGGAGGATGCCACATCGCAATGTCAAGTGCAGCTTGAGCCTTACGGCTGTGTCTACTCAAAAGACGGCGGCAGCAGTGGTTCTTACGACACTCGGCGACACTAGGCTCGATCTTCGGCAGCGAAGAGTTGTGTGCGCACGCTTCACTGCCACTGTTGGGCGCGAATCTGCCTCCACATTCATCTTTGTCTTCAATCTCAAGCACAGGAGATCGCAAAACTCTAATTGCGGCAGTGGCCGAGGTCGGAACTGCTCCGCTCAGCTTGGGTTGCGCTGCGGCCTGGGGGCGTAATTGTGGGGTGCCGAAAGGGAACGACTCGCACCAAAGACATGCAAGTGATTATTTTTCCTGCGCGTGCCGCAGGGTTCGATAATTCAATGCAGTCTGGCCACAGTCGCATGTTGTCTCTGCTGGCTGCACTGGAACTGCCGGGCAGTCATTCATTGTGCTCAGGTGTACTCCACTTGCACCCTCAATGCCTTCGAGAACGAGAACCAGCCCCAGCCTGAGGATGAGGACGTAAACATGGGCCTTATGGGGATATAATACTTTAGTTATAGTAGGGGCTGTAAGGGAATACCATCAGCGAAGCGCGTCAAAGGAAAGGATCCGAGAATGCCATCCATATCCGGAAAACGAAATCCCACAGCTCTGAATGTAGTTGCTGAATGTATGGAAGAGAGGACTTGCAGCCGCAAGCGAGCAGAACACAGGGAAACGAGGCAGTCCCTCGTCAACTTGCGGCTTGTTCTGTATGACTGTCTCGTCGTCCTGGCAGTGCTTCACAGATGTCCCATAGAAGAGGTCCCGAAGTTTGCTGGACGACTTCCCCGATGCTGAGCTGCAGAGTGGGCTCGGATGCCAGCCATCGTCCCGGAATGAGCCCATCAAAGACAGGATGTTCCAACAACTAGTGCAGCAGAAGGAGTGTGAAGCCGTGCACGCCTCTAAATACTACACTAATACTATGGTAATACGAAAATATTACCACAATAGTGCCATAATAATATATTCGCAAGACTATATGAGTACTACTAATACTAATAATTCCAAAATGGCACTCTATCAGTATTGTAATTGAAATGGTACTATGTGCACACTATACTAATGCTATATTAATACTGGAATGATACTATCTTGATACGATATCACTACTAATATGATATTATACTAACACCATATTAATACTCAAATGATGCTATATTAATATTATATCATCGGCAACAAGAATTTGATACCATATTAATATAATACTAAAATAATATTGTAACAATGCCATAATAATAACATAATAATACCATAACAATACCATAATAATACCAAGGTACTATCATAGTAATACCATACTAATACCAACATACTATCATAAGAATACCATACTAATATCATGATAATACCAAAATACTATCATAATAATACCATACTAATACCAAAATACTATCATACTCATACCATAATTACCATAATAGTATCATAAGAATACCACACTAATATCATAAGAATACCACACTAATATCATAAGAATACCATACTAATATCATAAGAATACCAAAATACTATCATAATAATACCATGCTAATATCATAAGGTTACCTTAAACCCTAAACCCTAAACCCTAAACCCTAAACCTTTTTTGAATCTCCGAGTTTTGCCCTTGGAGCTCCGTTTTTCGCGTTTTGTGGCGAGGCTCGGCCTGGCAGAGCTGGAGACGCCCGAGGGCTTCTTCAGGGCCCGGCGCCAGCGATCTTAGGGTTTGGGGTTTAGGGTTGGGGTTTAGGGTTTAGGGTTTAGGGTTTAGGGTTCTCTAAATAGACTCTAAATTCGAAATTCGGGTCCCTTTTTAGTTCCCCAGTATAGTTCGGCACCCTTATAAAAAGGATCCTAAAAGGTAACCTCATCTCGAGAACTACCCTGTACAAGCGTTATCAAGCTTGTCATCATCATAATCATAACCATAACGGTGCAGAGCTGTTGGGTTTGGACGTCGATGAACTAAGTAATTATACCGACTGCGGTGTCCAGGCTTTCAGATCACGGGGAGGCAGCCGAGCTGTTTTGTGCCGACAGGTGTGGCCTCACAAACTCAACGTTGAGGGTTTCTTCGTTGCCTGCTTTCGCAAGAAGGCGCGGAGAGTTCCTGTGAGTCTTCATGCGAGCCATCAATCTGAAACTAATTATGGAGTCGGAAGAGTCTCCCATTGCAATTTCGCAAGTCTTCGCGGGAAGAACCAGCCAAGATGAAATCCGGATACTTGGAACTCCTGCAAGGCTGGAGGAGGAGGAGTTCCTCAGAGCAAGGGGAGCGAATTGTGGCCGCAGTTCCAGAGGCCAGCGAGGGAGAGAGCGAGAGAGAGAGAGAGTCACACCGACTAACCGGACACGGACGCTTGGCGTAGCGCTTCCGTGCAGAGGGGTAGGGAGCGTGCGTCCCTATTTCCTCACACGCTGTGCAAGCAAGCTGTGCAAGCAAGCTGTGCAAGCAAGCTGTGCAAGCAAGCTGTGCAAGCAAGCAAGCAAGGTGGAGCGAGAGGGAGGAGTCTCATCATTACTGCATAGTAGCAGCAGCAACAGCAACACGAAGATTCGTACGACCACAGCAATAACAAGTACTAGTATTACTATACCACCACCACTACTACTACTACTACTACTACTACTACTACTACCACGACCACCACTACCAACACTACCAGCATTATCACTACTGCCACCGCTGCCGCTGTTACCACTACCACTACAACGACCACGGCGACTGTGACTGCGACTACGACCACGATTACTTTCGCGACGACAGCGACGGCGAAGACGACTACTACTGCCACGAGGGCGACGAGTACCAGTACTAGCCTCCGGCCATCAACTGTTCTTGTCCAACGCGTAATGTTTGTGGACCAACCCTACATGATTAGATTAGATCGGACTCATGCGTGTGCACACACAATCCTCGTGCACAGTGTTGTTCAGGCACAGTCGCCCTTCCCGTTTTCAGATCATGAGCAGTTTCCAGGATTGACTCGAATATCATCCGCTCGAGGTCTTGAGGAACCGAGGCCAGGGATGTGGAGTTGGATGCTCCGGGTGTGTGTGTGTGTGTGTGGGAAAAGAGAGGAACGATGGACACCAAAGCAAGTAGGGACAGGAGAGAGCTCGAAAAACCAAGGGCGGTTTGACAGCGGGGCTCGTTCTCGAGGATCCCACTGGGAAGCAGGCCCATCTTTTCTTTCTGTAAGCTTCTCGATCGCAGTTGCAGCTTATTTCCGGAACCGAAGCAGCCGAGCGACCATGGCTCGAAGGGACGGCAAGACGTGTTGAAATCAAGAAGATCAAGTGAGAGCTCCAAAAAGACATCCCCAACACCCCAAGTCCGAACCCGGATCCTGCAAATCAAAGGTTGCCGGAGACAGAGGCCTCGGCTTTGAGGGCTCGTGCCATCGAGGAGTGTGGTGGAGTAGCAACGCCAGTATGGTCAGTAGAGATCGTGCCGGTCGGAAATGCTTCAAACTTTTGTGTGGGCTTGGGGACTAGCTTCGGTGGTATTCAAGGCTTGAGCCCAGCTGAGCCGTCGAGGACCTTGGCTCCTTTCCGTCTTCTGCACCGCTGCTCCGTGAGCGACACCAGGCAATATGCCTGATGGTCTCTGCGCTCCGGGGTTCAGCAGACCTCTGGGGCTCAAGGTTTGAGAACATTGGAGACCTTCCATTCTGCAGTAGTTTGTTCCAGTACTCTGAACATGTTGAAAGTAAGCCAAAGTAGCCAAAGTGGCAAAGTTAGGGGATAGCACTGCGTAGCTTGACCCATACATGCTGCCGAGAGATCTTCACGAGAGGTTGAAATTTACGCCTCAACCGCCTGCCAGGGCGACGTCTGGCTATGCGCCTTTCCGTGCTGGCCGCACCTTGACTCACCATCCTTGGCGGACCAAAGGAGAGAACAAATCAACCGATTGCCAGTCTTGAGCACCACGACGAAAAGCTCCCATTCCTATCCTCAGGCCGCCAGCAGCTTTTGCCCGGTTGAGCAGCCTGGTGCAGCCCGGCATCTGCATCGTGGCGAGCGGCTCAGACAGAGAGCGGCGTCTTCTTCCGGACATGAGCGGCACGTGCGGATGGTCTCAGGATGCCAATGGTGCTCTGACCAGCGAGATTCGCTTGGTGCTTCACCCAGACCAGGGGTGATGCAAGGGCCGCTTGAGCCCACATCCGTGGATCGGAGAGACGCTGGCTGAGGTGGTCGGTGGCAGCAGCCTCACATCTGAGGCCCAAGTTGCCCCCTGAATGTCGTGCGTGTGTTTCTAAGTCACCCCGTGACATGGCTGTCGCCAGGAGTGGTTGGAGCTGCATGAAAAAGCAGGAGGCCATTGTCCTGGTTGCTGCCCTTACACTAAGTGTCACTGGAAGAGTAACGGGATTGCACAAACGTGCCAACCAGTTTCACGAAGTATACATTTGCTTCCTCGGTTAGGTCTGGTAACACTAACAAGCTCCTAAGTATCCTCGAGCCCCAGAACCCCCAATTAGAAAATTCGAGCAGCCTGCATCAGGAAGATCCTAGAACCAAAGGCCCATGATGAAGCCGGCATTACCAGCATCAGTGGCCCCAAACCCGCATCATGAGCATCGCTCTTGCCGCTGACCATGCAGCCGGCATTCTCCGGGGGCTTTGCAAACACCCGATTTCGGCGATGCACGCCGAGTAGGGCACAGAGCTCGGCCAAGCTCGACCCCAGAAACCCAACGCACTGATGGAGACAAGGACTCCCGTGAAAGCAAGCATACTATCATGTATTATACTATACTTTATTATAATATACGATACGACTTTGTAGCACAACCTGCCTTCAACTGTGTCAACGCTCAAAAAATAGGTTGTTGCCGTTAAAAACAATTGAGGAGCTTAGCAACTAAGGCAACTAAGGTAATTGCAAGGCATTACTAAGATGATCAATAACTGCAATGTTTCCACCAATGATGGTAACAATGGTGATCATATTGATAGCACGATTCCTAAGAAACAATAAAGCTAAAGCGAGTTTTATTGGCAAGAATAATGTTGGTGATCATGAAATCGAGTACTAGTCGCAAAGAACAAGCCTCGAAACCAGCCGAAGATGCCTTCTGTGCAGACGAGCTTTCATTATAGCAATCCGTTCATTATGTTTTTACAGGAACCCGCAACCCTCTAAACAACCTTTACTCTAAACCTGAATCCCTGGACTCTAAACCTCAAGCAAAAACCTTCAACCCTAATCCCTGGACCCAAAGCCCTACGCCCTAAACCCTAAACTCTAAACTCTACGCCGCGCCCTGAACCCTAAACTCTAAACTCTAAGACCTAAACCCTAAACTCTAAACCCTGAACCCCGCCAGGAGGTCTCGGGGCCAAAAGCCTTGCCCTTCGTGGCCTCGGGGCCGCGGGAGCGCGACGCAGTCTCGAGGACGGTCGAGAGCTTCAAAGCGCGGAGTTTAAAACAAGGGTTGAGGGTTGAGAGTTTAGGGCCCGCTGTGCATGCTGGTAGAGACATATTGTCAAGCCTGGCAATTGCAGCAACGGATATCCAAACCGTGGGTCGCTTTGCCCAAAATGCTGCCATGAGGTGCGCAGAGCAGCACGTTTGGTTGGCCATGGCATGTACGTATGTATGTATGTATGTATGTACGTACGTACGTATGTATGTATGTATGTATGTACGTATGTATGCATGTATGTGTATATATATATAGACACATGTATATCTATCTATATATGTATGTACGTATGTATATATGTATGCATGCATGCATGCATGCATGCATGCATGCATGCATGCATGTATGTATGTATGTATGTATGCGAAAGCAGGTGCATCATGTTCTGCTTGAGAATGTCCAGGAGATGCGCGCAAGTCTCTTGACGCCAGACGTGGTGAGTTCAGGACCCCAGGCTTGTTTCCGATGTGCACACCTGCAGCCCAGCTCACTCTGGGCGTGCTTGTAGTGTCAACTGCTCAGGCTACAACACTGTCCTGGATGCAAACCCTAAACCATAAACCCTAAACCCTAAACCCCATGTCAACTGCTCAGGCTACAACACCGTCCTGGATGCGTTTGCCAAAGAAGCAGATGCGGCAGGCGCCCAACAGGCCCGGATACATTTGTTGCTCAACGTCAGCACGGGTAATTGTTGCAATTCCGAAACAGTTGTGGGCACTCCGGGAAACTTGGTCTCGACTTCGAAGGTTTTCGGAACTGTCTCACCATCGGTCTCAAATCCAACTTTACAATCCCCAAACTTTGGGTCACGGTTCAACTGCGCCTTCTTGAGGTGGTATTTTGATAAGCCGCTGAGGGAACGGGTGTTTTTTTTTGCCGTTGCTGCTTTTCTGTTGTTGTGCAAGCCCCGGCGAACCAGCAAGTGAGTGAACTGTGGGGGCCCAAACAGCCAAAAACAACCGGCAGCAACAGCAAAAAAACACCGCCCCCCCCGCTGCAACAGCAAAAAACACACCCCCCACGCAGCAACAGCAAAAACAAAACACCCCCCGTAGCAACAGCAAAAAAGGCAGCAACAGCAAAACAAACGCCCCCCCGCCTTCCACACCGCAGCAACAGCAAAAAAGCACAACAGCAACAACAAACAAACACAGCAACAGCCAAAAAACACCCCCCCACAGCAACAACAAACAAAACGCAGCAACAGCAAAAAAAACACCCCCCTCCGCAGCAACAGCAAAAGCAAACACCCCC